TTACCTGCTGATTTCAAGTTTACAGCCACACAGTTGTGAATTAAGTTCTCCATATGTTACTAGTTCTATGTCCCCTACCTTATAACAGGACTACTGTCTGCTACAATGAGAGAGGAGGAGGTATACTCTTACAGGGAGTTACCGCGGACGTCAATATAGGGTAATGGGCAAGCTTTTGTGCCTCCCAGCATATATTCATCCACAATGGGGAAGTCTCTTGCCTTTGCAGACAGCACACTTGCTTTATGTGAAAATTTGCCTCTTTATTTCAAAATTTCTTAGAGAGCAAAGTAATCTTATAGCGACAGACACTTCAGAAATACATGCTTTGAAAAGCCTAAAGGTATTAGAAAGAAAACATTTCACTTTTTTCTACAAGCCTCATCATACTCAAACACAGAATACATGAAAAAAGTTCTTACCTGTTATGCAGCATCTTGCCCTCTATGTATTTCCCAATGATAGATCCTGATCTTTGCTTCCAGCTGGCTTTTGGGACACTTGTTTTGCACTTCTGCAAAAAAACAGAATACTTCTTACCAATTTACTCATGTTGTTTATGATGGTTAACTGCCTTCATTCCTAATGTTCAAATAATGCAATGAATATGAAAGAAAAAGTAGAAAAAATCCTAGAGGTATAAATGTTTCAAAATCTTGATCAATCAGAACATGGAAGCTCTGGATCCTGCAAGAATTCACCTTCTTTGTAAACTAAGTGGAGCAAAAAAAACCCAGCACAATGTCATGAAAAGGAGTCAATAGATATATGGTGATATATACTAGCAGATTCTTACAGGAATAAGAGCACAAACAAGTGTAAACAAAGTAGCCTTAGTCTCCTTAAGCCAGGGTACTTCTGGAACTTCTTAGGGGACCATTCTCTGCTGCTGGATAAAAAGTTAATGTGATCTACTCTTACCCAGTACCGATATGCATTTAGATACTGATTTAGGTATTCAGATATTGCACTGCTGTATGGAAGTTTCAGGATATTAGCTACTTTTGACTGAACAGATTAACACAATTTAATTGTTCAATTTTTAGGTTATTTCATATTCTCATGATTGCATCCTTAGCTTCCTAGAAAGTACATTCATCTCCTTCAAGATAGCTCCAATTTTATAATTCTAAAAATGTAGCTCTTAAAATCGTTCAGCAAATTTAAAAATCTTATTCTCAAGTGAGAAAAACACAATATAAATTAAGAATGGGGCAAGATTGAGCCTGTCTCCTGCTCAGCCTTCTGATCCCCTTCTTTTGAGGCTGTTTTTATATGTGTTTGCTCAACACTCGGTTTGAAAATAATAGTTGCTTACCTGTAAAAATATGTCACGTTCATCTTTGAGATGTTTGTTCCTCTCCCTGCAAAGAGAACACAAATAAAAGAAACACTGAAGCCAAATATTTAGAACTGCTGACTTTTCTACTCAACACTAACAGACAGACTGGACAGTTGGCAGTGTAAAAGGCAAGACAAATGCACTTTAATTTGGCATATCTATACCCTTGATCATGCTTTATTTATATTTTCACCACAGCCAGTTCCCTGTCTGGGCCATTGAACCTCCAGTAGAGCTATGTTGATGAAAGCCAGCTGGCACCTGGCCCTCATTCTGTAATTTATCAAAACAAATGCCTTAACACACAGAAATCACTTCTGGTCAACACACTTTCACATACTCTAAATTAGAATGTTCAAAGCTTCTCACAGTAAAGATGACCTCTTAATGTGGAGAGGGTGCAATGAACACCATCTCTACTCATCTGGTGACAGCTTTGAAGGCCAGTTATGTCCCTCTGAGGGCTACAGTTGTGACTGCCATGGAAAAGTCTCCCTAGGAAAACATCCATCTTCCACTCATTGTGCAGAAGAGAGGAAAATGTCAAGAAATAGAGACTTCAGGCAATCAGCTAGCTGTGATCAGATCTGACAACATACCTGCTTAGTACACCATTCACTGTGTCCATCTGTTGCTGGCCCGGCCACAAAAGAGACTGAGCAGCCATTACAGCCTCAGTGAACAGAAACAACCTCCACTGCCAGATGTTTCTATCAATGACCTCACTACCAGCAGCAGGCAAGACCACAACACATGGAGTTGCCTATGGGAAACACATTGCAAAGCAAGAGCCTTTCCTCAAGCATGGCAGCTTTTTAGGTAACATTAAAATGAGGCCTCCCAAAGGAAATGCAGTGACTGAAGGCCTACAGGTAAGCAAAACCTATAGCCCATGCAAACTTTTCATTGAGCAAACAAAATCTAACACTGTTGCACGTTAAAAAGAGAGTTACAATTGTTTGAACGCAACTCCAAACTTTGAAGTCTATCAATACAGAAATGTTACAGAGAAAATTTGCTAACTATATTCTGACATAATTTTACAGATAAACATTTTGGAGAAAGAATCTTCATTTTGGCTGTACTCCTATCACTTTAGAAACTACAGAGCCTTTTAGTAAGCTTCAAGTCTCCTGTGGCCAGGCTTCTATCACAGAACCAGCTTAGAACAGTTTACCATTGTTTTATTTTACATCTGACTTCTGGAACGGAGATTGTCCTGCGATACCAAATTGCCAAAACAAAGCAAATCTTTCATGTGTACTGCCTTCTACTTTGTGCAGTAACGAGGCTTACAAAAGACATATTGTACATATTGTCTTTTGCAACCATTTTTTGTTGTCTTTTGTGTCATTATCCTGTGGTGGGTTGACCTTGGCTGGCAGATGTGCACCCAACTGCTCTCCCATTCTTCCTCCTCAACAGGACAAGGGAAGAAAATAGGATGAAAAAGCTTGTGTGTCATGATAAAGACAGGAAGGTCACCTACTAACTACCATCACAGACAAAACAGACTCAACTATAGTATGATGAGAAACCAAGACAAAACTAAACTCACATTCTCTCCACCCACCCTTCTTCCCAGGCTCAACTTCACTCCTGCACTCTTGACCCTTCTGCCTCCTTACAAGGTCTGAGTAGCATAGGGGGATTCTTTTCTTACTCCTCTCTCAAATGCTGCACAGTGTCTTCTACACTTTCATACACAGGCTTTCCCAGAGGCACCACTATCTTGGCTGAGGGACTTAGCTATGTCCTGAGGTGGATCTGTTGAGGCCGGCTGGAGCCGGCTGTGTCTGGCATGGGGCAGCCCTGGCCTCTCTTCTTTGGCACAGAGGTTGTCCTCGCAGCGCCCTGCTGCCAATACCTGGACACCTACACCCAGTGCATATCCCAACATAACTGCATCCTTTAATGAACCTCTTTAGAATGATGCAAGAAGTTCTTGACTGTAAGGTCTGTAATTACCTTAAAAAATCCAGCTGCTTCAGAAGTCCTGACTTCTCTCTCTGTAAGGTTTCTGTCACTCGGTATACCTCCCTGTAATGAAAAGAAAGAAATGAAATTGTTCTAACCATGGTAACAACACTGCTAAAACACTTCTCCCTAGGAGTATCCACATGTGAGGCTTCAGCTTCTCCAAACCTATAGACTTTTTTTCTCCATGAATGGTTATAAATTTAAAAAATAACTTTATCCAGTACAAGGCCCACAGTACCACAGCAGTTTGTGCTAGCAGAGGAGAGAATAGAGGTTCTTAAAAAAAAAAAATAATTGTAGCTTTATTATTTCTTCATCCAGAAAGTTTAATATATGCTGATACTGGCATTTGCACCATTCAGAGAACACATACTGCTGAAATCCTTCTCACTCATGGCTGCTAAAGACCATGAAGCATTTTATCCAAAATTACAAGTTTATCTTGCTGCTGGAACCAAGTGTCTGGCTCACACATCTACATTCCCTACAATTTATTTTCAGTTCTTGACTTTAAGAGTTATGCAGCCTTAAACACTGGCCACAGCGTCTCAGATGTTTACACTAGATTTATACCATCTTCTTTGACTTAATGCAACTTGGTGTCTGCCCTTAAATGTTGTTTTGTCTTCCAGTAAAGCCTCTAGTTCTTCCTGTGCACAGTCTGAACACCACACTTGCTTCAACAGCTCAGGTCTCACCAGACTGATACAGATGTTTAAAGCAACACTGCCGGTGCAGTTGAGTAGGGCTGACCTCTAATTCCAAGAAAAATTAAATCAGTAATAACTAAGTAAAGTTTGGCACAAAGCTTAACAAATAGAGAATATGGCATTTGATTTAATATTCTGCTCTATCCTGAAATATGCCAAATAGCCGCATCACGGAGTTACGTAGTTCGTTGCTGAAATATAAAGTCTGGCAAGATCTGCATCACAGTCTGGCATCCATGTGCTCTCCATTGGCAACAAGAGTGTTTTACAGATCTCTGAGCATTTTTTTAAAACTATCTATCTTCCATAAAATGGACTTCAGTGAACATTTCTGCCAATTAAAGCTTCAGAGTAATGTAACTTTTGGTTTGTGCAGAAGGCTGGAACAAGACAGGCAGATTGATCTCTCACTGCATGGCCATTTGTACCCCTCAAAATATAAATTGTAAATATTTCTTCCTGAAAAAAATTTTTAATTCAGAGTCAGAATCTGAAATCCAAAACATGTGAACTCAAAACCCCAAAATTATGGTTCTGGATCACCATAAGGCCTTGTGTGAATTGTGATTTAGCTGCATAAGCTATGTTTTACTTTGCTGACCAGGCTCCTTGGTCAGAAGTTATGTATTAGACTTGCTTTTGACAAGGAAAATAAGCACATTCTAGCTGTCTCATAGTCAGAGTACATTCTAAGAAGCAAGCTTCCGATAGACTTAGCTTTGAGGAGAATGGAGCATCATGTGCCACAATTTCCATAAGGAAACCCACTGTTATTTCAAAACTAAGACATACTTTTTAACCAATTAAACTGATTTTTAACTCCAAACACCCTTAACAAATGGGGAGTGGGGGGTGGGAGAACACTGACATTTTGAAGAAGTAGCAAAATATTCTGTAGAAGCCAGATATGCTACACAAAACATGCTGAATTACTTGTGGAAAAATGACTAGAACTGCACTTGGCTTTGCTGGTGGTTTCTGCTTATGACACAAAATTAAATCACAACACTGGATATCCTGAGAAGGAGGCTCATTGGCACACTAAGCAAATGCACTGGAACCACTGCAGCTGGAGGCTTACATTTCCTTCTCCTCCTGTAGTCTTGATGCCTCCTCGTGAAGCACCTGTAACTGTTGTTGAGCCAGGCTCAGTTCATGAGATGTTTTCTCCAGGTCTCTCAGCAGCTCCTGGTTCGTCAGCTTCAGCTTGGTATTCTCTACTTTAGTTTCTTCTTTGCCACTAAGAAGTTCTGTACATTGCTGCTCTAACTGGGACGGAAGAAAACAGAACAGTAAGTATTATAACTAAGTGAGGCATCTCGGTTTTGAGGCTTTCAATTCAGATCTTAGAGGTTAGTTGAACAGGGAAGCTATTTCTGTCAAAGCCACCACATGAATAAAACACATATGGTGCTCTTCCACTGCTCTGTGTACAGGTGTAATTATTCTACACAAAAACAAAGCCATTCCACTCTATGACTGAATTCCATCCAATTCAAAAATGCACAAGGCCAAAACACTAAAAAAGGTGTTTACAGAACAGATTAGCAGTACTTAGTTGATATTCACAACTGCTATTTTAGAAAATTTCTCACAATGACACAGAGCAGTTCCGAGTTCTGCCTAAAAACAGTTAGATTTAAATCTGGTAGCTGATAAACCTTCCCATCCCCAGCAATATCAACAAGCAGTAACCTTTCTGCCACCTCAGCTAAATCTGCCAAGAAGTGTGAACTAGAGCTTTTTTTATTGACTTTTATATTTACTCTCCAAAGTACATACAAAGGAAAGATACACCTTTCCTGTGAAACCGGTAACAGCGGATGACAGTGGTTTCTGGCATGTAAAGAAGTTCCACCTGCTTCTCCCTGGCTAACTGAGCAAATTAAGATGACAGAGCAAAAGTTAAATAGACTAAAATTAGTCTACTTCATATTAGGGAAGGCACTGCTGACCTGAAGATATAAGTTTGGGGTTTTCTTTCCAGCATGTGTTTTAAGGGATGTAAAATGTACTAGGAGCATTACAATGATACTAGTTCAATCCTCCAGATCTGAGACATAATGGAGGATTTTGTTAAAACTCTCGTTTTGCACATCCTAACACACAGAGCTCACCCAAACCAAAATCTGTCCTTACCCATCTCTGCCAGTCTGTTCATGCTCCACATCACTGCTGTTGTTCTAGTCTTGCTTTTGAACACAACCTTAAGGCCTAGGTTCAAAACAATGGCAGAAAATACTTCCTTGCTGATTTTGTGAAAGGTTAGGAACAAGAGTTGAGTGGAGCACTTATCTCAGCAGCAGCACCAGCTCAACATGTTTGCTGAACTGTACCCTCAGCAGGCTCACAGTTCTCAGTGAACAAAAAGTATCTGGGCAACAAATTACTGATGAGCAATGCTGGTTTATATTGATAGATCACTTCAGTTCTTGAGTATTGGTTCCATTCCTTGGCAGAATGACGTTATCTACTCTAAGTAAAAGACCCATTGCTTCAGGTAGAAGACAAGACTTACTTGGGAGAAGCAAAAAGTGATCACACAGAGATGGATTTCAAAAAGCTTCAGAGCAACAAATTGCAGGCAGAAATCCCAATTACAGAATACCATGGCCATCTGCAGACTTACACAGAGACTGGTTTGGAAATGTAACTGCAATGGTAGCCATCATCAGCTCCCGGAATCATAGACACTGATGTCAGAAGTAATTGCTATAAATCCTGACGCTTACTCTTGTGAGAAAAACAATTATGTTGAAACTGTGCTCAATAGCATAGTGAGCAGATGCTCATAATATTTAAACTTCAGGTCACAAGAAGAGGAGAAAGGGTTATTTCACAGCAATACAGAGCTCCTTCCTTTCACTCTATCTATACAATCCTTTAAGTGATGGCAAACACTTTAAAACAGGTTTTAAAGCATTCATTTAAATAACTCCCAGTACAGTGGAATAACTCATTAGGTTAGCTGGTACAGAATGGCAGAGACCACATAGGCTCTAGCTGCTTCTTGGAGCTACGCACTGGCTCCCACGGTCATCAAGCAGATGAAAACTGATTGGGAAAGACTAATGGCCCACAGTCATGTAAAAGAAAATCTAGAATGCAGAGAGAATTAACCAATTAGCACAGGTCAAGCAGAGACACAGTAGCAAATGGTGTATAATCTCTTTTTTTTTTTTACAAAAATGGGAGGAAATACAAGTTTAAAATCAAGTAAAGAACTGGGATTGTCCAGTACAAACTGTTCCTGAGGACAGCTACTGCTGTCCCTCAAAGACACATACATTAAGCACTTTCCATACACTCCATTGTTCTTAGCTCAGCATCCTTTCTGTATTTCTTCTCTTTTTTTTCCTATTTATTTCAGGTGCACATGAAAGATGAAACATTAATACAGTGTTACAAGGCTGGGGATTATCTTTTTCTTTACACCTTTCTTAACAATTCCATCACTTGATCTGCATTTTTGAGTGTTACTGATCTATATTCTCATGGACCTCTCACTCAAAATCCCAAAATCATGTTCTTCAGTGACTATCATCAGCACAGAATCCATTACTTTATGTGAGAAGCACTGTAACTCTCCTGCACTTTACCTGCTTTTCACACCTACATTCTTCCCCTAATACAAGATTCTGTACCATAGATGTTATAATGGACATCCTCTGTCCCCAGTGCCTCCTTCTCAGACATGCCACCACACATCCCTTGAGGAATACTATTGAAAACACCTTGCGCTTTATCTAAGTCCTGTAGAACAAGTTGACAATTCAAGATTGTGGTAGCCAACAAAAAGGCCTAGCAAAAGGAATCTTGGCCTACAGAAGGCCAGTCAACATGGAATCAGATTCAGTATTTCAGTCACACCAGGCAGAAGACTCTCTCATAAAAGAGACTCCCTCTGACTAAATCAGCAGAAACAACACAAACTCATCTTTTCTGAAAGTTCCCTCTCATATTTTTAATAATAATTTCCAACAACGGAATAATTACGCTGTATTTAAGATTTTACAAAAGGAAAAAAAAAAAGGAAGAAAATAACTTCATTAATGAAGTTTGGAACAAGGTCTTTGTATTACTCCCAAGAGGTTCTCTCATATAATCAAGCACAGAAGTAGTAATTAAACCAAGATACCATTACCATCTGCAAGAATAGATTTAATTATCAAAGTGTATTTCCATGCAGGGGGAAATATTAATACTATTAATAATAAACAATGCAATGAATAGAAAAGGAAAACATAAAATTAGGTAAAAAATAATACTAATAAACATAACACAGACATTGTTTTATCTTCTCCAACATAGGCAGCAGTAGACAATTGGCAATGTAGACAATAATCATAAGACAAACCTTCCTGATACTGCTGCCTGTAATACTTGATTAGACCAGGTCTAAAATTTAGTATAAGCCTTTGAATAGCTTCTGTGTTAGTTATACCAAATTTAGAGCACATATATTTTAGAGAACCACAAGAAAAGATTTTTATAGAAGTAATGATTGATAATTAAGTTTTAAATATAGCTTTAAAAAACAAACAAACAAAATCCCACACCCAAAAAAGGAGAATATTAAAATATAATAATTACAAAAATATTCTAAATATTTTCCTATAATTTTTTTTTAGCATCAGACTAAAAATGCCTGATTTATGTGCCCCCACAGATACCTCCAAAGTACAGATTATTTCACTCTAGTGCGGCAATGTGTTAAACAGCCTGCATAAAACCACATCTATTCTGATTCACAGCGTTACTAAACAAAGGTAATTAACATTAGGCTTTAACTTTTAGTTCAGTCCTATATCCTTATAAGCAAAACTTGCATAATTATAGTAAGCTGAAGGTTTATCTCCCCTCTTACTCAAGTACAACCCTACAATTCTCATCACCTTCAGCAGCACCTGGATTTATTCCTCAGAAGAGGATCCAAAAACTACACACAATGAGTAAACTGCCCTCAGATTTCCTTTTCCTCTTCCTTCTCTTCTCCTCATACTTCTCTCCTACTTCCCAGGACTGGCAGTCCTGAGCACTGCTGCCAGGAAAATAAATTTTACATCTATTTTATACACATATTTTACAGAGGGAGTTGGTTTCACAATGTTCCATTTCAGCCCTTTAAATTCCTGTGCTACCCTTTTTGCCCTATTGCTAGGCTTTCATACACTGATCTTGGAGACACTTCCCAGCCAGTTTCCACATGCATTTTAAGAAGTAAAACACATCAGGCCTTAATGTGGGACGTTGATAAGCCATTATCATGCAAGAGAACCATGCACTGCTATAAAACTGTTAGCACAGAATGATGTATCAGGAGCAGGTTGTTCAGGAGGGAGCACTTCAAGTTCATAGCACTGCATCGTCTAAAACAAGTAAATAAGCACTTGGTACAAGGTTTGAGCAACGGTGTACACTGTAAGACCCAAATCATTGTTCTCTGCTCTTGAGCTGTCTGGGCATTCAGCCAGTTCACAGCACATTAAAGGCAGCTGAATTGCGCTACATTTTCCTAAAATTAACTGAGTACCTGGGGAGAATACCTGGAGCATTTTTTTATCATTTTAACATATAAAAGGAAAACTGCTTTAGAAACAGAGGGTAACGCTTTTCCTAAGCACACGCATAGAAGTCTAGCAGTCATAACTCCACTTTGAAATGCATTCAGGTATCTACACACATGACACAAAAGCAACAGAGATCACAGTTTGGCAGAACCATATCACATCAACTTGCATTTCCGAGACCTAAAAAGGTACCTAAAAAAATCACATGAACAAATAAAAATGGTACTTTTTTTTTTACTCTGAAGGATATCGGTTAATACCCTTTTCTGTTTTTGAACCAATTGTTCCAGTTCTTGTTCTTTTGACAGGAGCTTGCACTCCAGCTCTTGACTGTAGGACTGAAACCTCTCTGTGTCCTGCAAAATTCAAAGAGAAAATGGATTAATAGAACAGCACAATTTCATCAGCAGGAGACATAAGGAACCAGGCATGAAAATAATAGGCAAGTTTTTCACAGTGAGCATAATGAGCTACTGGCAGAACTCAATTTAGGGATAGTATCACTCATAATCTAGACTCTGAGATTTGGTAAACTGGTGTAGTCCACCACCTTCAATGACTGCAGTTGCTACAGGCTGTGCTGATTGTGCTTGAGTAGGCATCATGTCTACAAAGAGGAGGAAAAAGTCTTCTATCTTAGGCATGATCCTTAGGAGCATAGCCAACCTAAATCAATGAAGCTACAATGCATCCTCCCATTTGCAGTGACACACACCCTCATCCTCTTATACATTAGCATTCATGCTCATCTGTTGCAGCAGTGAGCTGTTTCAGAGCACTAAACAAGCAGGAAAAAAAATAATTAAAAAGTTAACAGCTTCCTGCACATTTGGTTTCCTGAGCCAGACAACTGCTGACACAGAGAAGTGATGAGAATGCACTGATGGAAACAACCTGGACAAATTTAAGTTATTATGGAGTCATACTGCAACTCAAGAGTGACATGGGAGATGCAGGCTACTGACTCACAGCACAGCAGCTCAGGTTGAAGAAAAAGAAAAAATACCTTCTACCTTTAAAATGCACCACTAACAGCAATGTGTTGGTATAAGCAAGTGATCTGGGTTTCAGGCTCTGCCATTCACTTAGCAATCATATCAATCTGTCCACTAAGTATCCTGCAAACACTTGAACTCCCAGTCCTATTTGGGATTACACCTTAAGATGCTCCTCAAGTGAGACACCTCTCGTGAGTGAAATTGGGTTCCAGCAGTTCATATTTGCTGAGAATCTGTCCTGTTCTTCCTCAACAGGCTTATACTCTTTAAGGTCCTCAGGAAAATGCCTCTACACAAAATAAAAATTCACTCAAGACAGCAGTGGTTCCTACATGCTTTTCCCCTTCAGCAGCATACGTAATATGGTAATCAAATGCATGTTAACTGGCTTTTTATGTGGAAGAATATATATGCAAGTGAAAAAGACTGACTAAGTGTCCCTTTTGTACAACCTTCAGTCAGCAGGGTATTAAGTATCGTAAATAGCTACAATTTGTACTTATTTGCATCTTACAAATTTCTTTAAATGTATTCTTCAAGAGCGACTCTTCTTGCAAGCCATAATAATTCCCCTTTTATATGGCATCAATGCATCTCTCCAGGCTGTAAAGTCTTTGTGAGACTTTGCATTAGAGAAAGAATTTAACAGTCAGATCTCCCCAAATCCCAAATTAGTCATGCAAGAAACAATTCTTCTTAAGTGTCTGACAACCATTAGTGTGAATGCTGACTAAACTGTAAATAGCTTCAGTGGGAAGCTTTAATGAAAAAGCTTGAAAGAAATGGCTTTACCTCTAATATACAACTAATTAGGAGATCCAACAATCATTTCTTATGGAAAAGTCTCTGTTGTTTCAGGGTTTTCAATACAACTTCAGTTGTGGGCTATTAAGAGCATATAAATCGTTTTTCCTACAACAACTGCTGTCAGACAAAGTTGCAAATACTTTTATCCTTCAGCTGATATGGAAAAAACTTGAAATTTGTAAGTCAAGTTCACTATCCTGTGAGGCAAGTGAAAAGACTGATTCCTTAGATAGCTGATTAAGGGTCTTTTTGCTCTAACACACTTTATGTCAGGAAACAAAAAATACTTTCTATATTTGGATCACAAACAGATTTTTTAGATATCATGCTTGATTGAGCATGGAGGCAATAACTGATGGATATCCATGAGCTCTGGCAACATTTTGTGTACCACATGGTGCTTGAAACCACATATTGGTTTAATTTATTAGGACTGTCTTCAAGATAACCAAAAAGGCATAAGCCAGTAGCTCATGATTGGTTGGCCCAGGCCATCCAGAGGAGATTTGGAATCTCCATCATTTGTGTACTTAAAATGTAGTTGGACAAGTCCCTGAGCAACCTGATCTAGCTTGAAAGTTAGGAGTAGCATAGGTGCCTTCCCAGCTAAATTATTCTAATATGACTCTTTCCTGGAGCATACCGGCTGTTATTGTTAGTTTCCCTGTTTTAGGAGAAAAAAAATTAAAAGGACAGAAAAATCCAAAGAACAGACTATAAAAGCAGTAGAGGAGATTTAAAGAAGACTTTGTAAGAAAAGGGAATTTATTATCCGGTGTTCTGGAAGCACCATGGCAGTGACAAGAGAATCTGAACTATGTTTATTTTGCAAATAGCTATGGTGGTTTCAGAAATCATTATCACTTGATTTTTCTGTTGTTCCTCTTCAGGGAGAACTTATCCTCTCCCCTAAAGCAGAGACTGCAGAACTCAACAGAACTAGTGCGCTCCAAACAACCTCAAAGAGCAATTTTCCTGATTGTGACTAGAAGCTGGACCTATAGCAGCATCAATAATACAATAAACTGTAGTTCAACTGACTTTCAAAAGAATGCCAGTTGCTACTGTATGTCAACCACTGAGCACAAGACATAGATGCTCTTCTCATCCAACAAGTCACTTAGTTTGATGCTCCAGAGCCTGGATCAGTACAAAAGCAGCAGCGAGGCAAATGCTGTTTTTTTTCTTATTCTGTTGTGAAACAAATTTTGTGGGTTTTAATTTCCACACAGAACGAGTATAAAATCATTGGAAGTGGGGGCAGAATACACACCCACAATAACAAAGAGACACTTACTTTCAAGAGAAACTGCTCTTTCTCCTTTTTGATTTGCTGTTCCATTTCCTCATAGAGATGTTGGATTTCTTCATCATAAGCAGCAATTTTCCTAATGAGAGATAAAAATATAATGAGTGGGTCTTTGCACCATTACTTCCAGTCATGGCTCACATTATGAGTTAAGCCCCACATTTCTACCATAACACAAGACTCTAGAGAATCTTCTAGGGTTAAGAAAACAGGAGTTTTTGTGCAGGAAAGGTCACAGATTAAATTTTTATGTTTTTCTCACAGAAGGAAACCTTTAATAGCTCAAAAGCTAATAAAGCTACTCATTTGATGTTTCCATATAAAGCAGCGGTTCATTATGCAGTTTTAATGACTACTAAATCTTAGCTTTAAGGAACAGTGCTTCCTAGTGACAATACTAAGAATATCAGAGCTTAAATTCACCAGTTAAAAGTACTTTCACTGCAACTATATTTTTTTTTCCTCTGGAACTGCATTGTCCGTCACTCAAGAGCACTGAATAAGATACTTCTATCATGTCTAAGATATTTTAGCTAGAAAGGACTTCTTGGAAGTCCTTCTTGAAAGCTGCCTTACTGCCACTTTAAAAGCTTTGCTGAAACAAAGTCCAGCTAAGGAACAGAAATAAATATGCTCTATAGAAGTACATCTGACTGCAGGAGAAATGGAGAACTTACAAAGCTCGCTTTTCCAACAGAATATTGCAATTAATATCACTTCAGTTTGATACACGAAAGATTACATTGAGCAGATGCTTTAGTTGGGCAGAAAAAAATTAACTGTTGAAAGAGAAGAAGACAGCTACTTTGTTCTGATTCTATTCTATTCTATTCTATTCACATTAATCCAGAAATTGAAAAGCAAAAATCACTTTGCCTCAAACTCAAGGGACATCCTAGAAAGATTTTTAACAGAGATTAATAAGGCCTTTAAATGACATTATTGTCTATTCTGCCACATTCCTCTTCCTAGTGCTGTTCCTTGAGCAATCTGCAGAATGCATGTTACAAATAAAGTTCATAATCTCCTAGGGCATTCACAGCCATAATAGCAAGACAAGGAATATATGGTATGAGAAAAAAAAAGCTGTTAATTTTGTAATCTACGTTTTTTTTTTACTTAATTCTCTACATACTCTATATTTTCACTTATTAAAGTCCTGATTCTCTACACAATAAAAGCCAAGCAAATCAGAAAGAAACTTCAAAAATTTACCTAAGCTAGGAGGAGTGAGAAACACCAGAAACGAGTCATTCTTTCCCCCTTTCAAACATCAGAACACTTGACATTGCCAGCTTGCATTTTCAGTCACAGGTGAAAAATCAGGCAGCGAAGGCATTTTTTCAGGATTTACAGCAGCAATAAGTTAATATCAAGCTACACCAATTAGAGGAAAATTATTGGTGTCACTTAGATTTTTGTAAAATCTGACTAGGTGAGAAAATCAGCCCAAACAAGGGCCTTTTCATCTGACTGCAATGCTTCAAACAGAGAGTGACAGAGAATTCAGATACCCTATTTGCTGCCTTACACCTTACTCTTAGAGTTTAAAGCCAGGTCCTATTCTGATCTCAAATTTTATTTTCTTAAAACTAACAAAATGCTTCATAAGAAATTAGCACTCATCAATAGAATAGAATTACACAAATTCATAAAGAATTAACACCTATTTAGAAAGGTATGGCAGAGATGCTAAGATCGTATTTAGAATGCTGTAATCATGCAGTATGTTGCATTGATCAGGGCTAGATTGACTATGTACCAAAAAACCCTGTAACTTTGCACAGGCAGAACACATGGTACAGCAGTCAGTGTTTCCATGGGAATCATAAAGATTTTCTTTGCTTCTATATGACAGGGAGAATAACTTTATTAAGTTCTGTATTATTAAGCTGCCGATTTACATATTTCTTTCCTCTTATGTGTTTGGATATGGCAGCACCACTAAGACTACATCTGGGAGGTACCTCCAGATGTAGGAGTCCTTTTAGTTGGTCTGGCACTAAAGCACATACCATTTCTTCAGGCTGAATACTCCCCAAGCATTAGAGACTGTTTATGGCTTACCATTCCTAACTCTGATCAAATTAAACATAAAGATAAAATAATATACTGCTATAATCAAGATGAAACGCAATTATAAGTAACAAGCAGCAGAAAAAAAATAATCCAATACATTATCTTGCAAATACTCCCCACATGCAGACAGGGGAAAATAATTAAAGCTGTAAGGGTATATAATTGTTATGTGGAAAATGCAAAATGTTTTTAATAAAATCTGTATTCCCTGGGATCATACCATCCAGTTTCACTAAATGCATAATTGTATAACTTCAGCAATATTTGATAATGTGATCTTTCTCTCTCCAGTAATGCTGTGGAATAAACACAGATGGAGACAAAAAGGAGCTGGTGCTGTTGTTGAGCACATTAACCAAAATGGAATGTAATGCGAGTTCAGTGAGTTCAGCTGATGAGTTCAGGATAAGCACACTCACAAGGGTTTAATTTCTGCCCTTTCATGTAGCTGCAGAGTGAATTGTTTGGGTTTCACAATTGCTGTTCATGCAGCTTTTTGTAATAGTTCGTCTTTCCCCTTTAAAAACCGCAATGATTTGCACTCTTTGTGCACTGATCTTGAGATGCTGATTCTCCTCTTCTTCTGCCAAAGGTGGACTCTGACACTGTCCCATTCAAAGCTCAACAAGAATTCTGTTCATCCTTCCCTCCTTGTTTATCCTTATGTTTATCTTCTCTGTTTAGAACTCTGTTGTCTGAAACACAGTCCACCTTTTTACTCAGTTTGTCTTTCAAATGCAAAGCACAGCAGCAAAGATTTTATCTGCTATTAGAAGAAAAAGGCCTGTTTCTCATTACTTTCTATTAGTCTTATTAAATGGTCTTTGGTTCTACTGCTAGGGATTTGAAGAATAACAGTTCCTTATTTAGCCTAGTCAGTGGTCTCATGGTTTTGTAAAGGTCTATCATATCCCACTCCAAAGAGAACTTTACCTCTTCATTCAAGAAATCATACCATTTAAAAATATCTCTCGCAGAATTTAAAAAAATATCACTGCTACATTTAAGAAGCCATCTAGTTTTAAATTAGCACTTAAAATTAAATACATATATCAGAAAATCAAGGAGAACCAACCTACCCTGGCAAATAATCGTATCCACTGCATAGCACTGTAGATGATTGTATGGAGCTACTAGTCTGTATTTACAGTGCATAGCTTAGCTATTGCTGATTCCAGCACCAGGCCAGATGTACAGTATTTGGTTTGATACACTACTGTAGTAAAAGTCACTCACTTTTGTTTAAATGAAAAGAAACAAAGAAGCAAATTAGTATTTTTAAAAGGAGAGGGTTTACATCTCATATTTTCATTTTGCATTAAAATCTACAAATATAGGCAACAGCTGACAAAATCAGAGTGGGTCAGTTTACCTCAAAATACTAAAGCAGATCTTTAATACTAGAAAAAAAATATGGCCTGTTACTAAGTAATAAAAACAGTCGCACACTAAGTGTGCGCAGTGCCATAATTTACATGTTCAGAGGACAAAAACAGTATCTGCTAGAGGGTCAGCAGTAGACAGCACAATATGCAAATGTCTTCTTCAAGACTATTTACAAGTTACCAATATTTTTTCTTAGGAAAATACTTACTTGACATATGGAAGGTTCCTTTAAATACATATGCTTATCTACATTGATGCACAAATATATAAATAAATATATATAGAAATAAAAATTCTCAGGGAGATCAACCCTATGTCTTTGAGTAACGAATTACCACAAATTTCCTCTATGCAGTATCATGCTACATGTTACACATATGTATGATAAACTTAAAAGTTTCCTGAGCTCTACAAGAACAGGTTTGTAAAGGACATGTTAACACCGGTATGGATGAAGTGTTAAAGTGCTGAGATGACTAGGGCTCAGCCTGAGGATTAGCTAACTGAACAGAGCATAAGAAACTGCTGGCCACTGTATGCAAAATTGCTGGTCATAGCACATAAGAGTGAAAAACTAACAACAGTTACAGATAGCACCCTGATGGATGGCTTTCACAGGTGTGCTAGGAGAAGTTATGCAGTCAACCTCACAGCTATCTGAAGGAAAATATTTGGCAACTTCTGGGGAGAAGAATCTTGCCAAGGAAAACAGCATCTAGATAACCACATCAGTAATGCCATATAAGTGCAAGATTACTTAGGTACCGATATCAGAAACACGAGATTTGCATGCAGATGTAGTAAAACTGGGACCAATGTAAAAAAAAGTATTTAGGGACAAGGTTTTTTTATTTCTGAGGACACAAAGATAGAGAAAGGGACCAAGGTGGATGTGACCTGGAGGATAAGTGACTTAGTCAAGTGTAATCAATCTGATGGTTAATACATTTGTCTAGTCATGCCCTGTGTCTGATTATCACAGACTATCTTCTTATTACATCCTATTCCTAACTGTGTGAACTCAATGTCTATTCTATGTGGGTGTTATTCATTAGCATACTTCGAGCTGAACTAGCCAGCAAGGAGGAGGAGATCTCCAACTGGAAAAACTCAAAGTCTGAGCTGATGACTGGAGGTAAAGGGACTAGGGTCTCAGCACGGTCAACAGATGGACTTAAAAAGCCTCATGCTAATATCTGAAGGATCTGCCACTGTTAATGAGTGAGCAAATGAACACATTCTAGTAGCAAACTTCAATCTAGCTGAACCAGCCAGCAAGTTGAAGGAGACCAACATCTGGAAAGATCCAAGTGAAAGAATGGGCAAGGGACCCAGGGTGCAGGGAGGGACACTAGGTAGACTAAAGTCCATACTAATATTCAAAGGATCTGTGAATGCAGGTTAGTTTCTGAATAAAGTAAGTGTTGGAGAAGTCTTCACGTATGTGTGTTTTCACTAATAAAATTCACTCCTGATAAAATGGATGGGAGAAACAGGATCAGGCTGTCATCCTTTTGTTTGTGTGAATGCTGTGTGTGTTAGGTGGGTGCCAGTAGAGGCACTACTTTCTAATCAGTATTAATCTGCACAGTCCCCTATGTGTAGTGTATATGCGTGTGCATGTATTGAGACTATACATTCAGCCTCACTACTGCCTGCACCTGCAAATGGGAACAGCAGCAGCACACTGTGTCTATTGAACCAAAAAAGGAGAAAAATCCTGTGTCTCTTAGGATTCAGGTTCATCAATGAAAATATGCATGTGTGAAAGCTGCAGAAGAAAAGACAAAAAACAGTTGTAGAAGAATTGCATGGACTGACAGCATAGATTGGCAGGGCATAAAGATGCCAGCACATGCACATAAAGCTTCTCAGGACATCCAGGTTAGGAAAAAAAGGAACAACTTAAGTTAAAAGCACAGTCTACATCTAGGAAAGGAGACAAAAGGCTGAGAGTAGACTGTATTATTGCCTAATGACTCACAGAGGTGAGTCAGGGAAGATTAAAGATTACATTAATTCTCAGCTTCCAAAGGGTACTACTGTCACCAATCAAGAACAACGCAGGAGACATGCTAAGACCTCAGCAAGCAGCATCCCTTATCTTCTGTGACCTCACAGTAAATCCTGGCCAATCTACACAGACACATGCACCTTAGTGTGTAGCAGTATATGGGTATAAAACCAATAAATTTTCCCTCTCTTGAGGGGTCTTATCTTGAGCTTGGTGTTATTTGTACATAGCTTAAAATGAAAGAGGTTATTGAGCTCCACTGTTACCAAAGACAATATTACTCCTCTGACTCCTTCCAGCTATCAATTACAAACAAAACAGCGTTCTATGTACTGACATTAGAGGTGTTATCAGGAATGACAGAAAGAAGAAATTAGCTAAAACCTGTTTTTACTACAAAGGCATAAAAATCCAATGCATTTTTAAGGTAGAGATTTCATGTCAGCCAGAGAAGTCAAGAAATGCTAATGTATTTTCCATGCACCTCTGTGCTGATCACAGCTATTAAACAGACAAATTCATTCATTCAGTCCAAAAAAAAACCCCACTGACAAGAGTCTGACAAAAAAACCACAAAACCAAACAACATAACAAACCCCTCACCACACATGGTTGTTAACAATCTCTAGCTTAAAAGAGACAGCACAATTATCTCTATGCTGTTTCGAACTGACTAGCTGTCTGAAGGCTAAAACCACACTTGCAGACTTAGATGGAAATGCTGCTATCAACATAAATCAATTGTGTTTAATCACCATATGTTTTTAGTTATTTTCTTTCTTCAGAAGCATTGTCATGTTCTCAGAATAGCCAAGAGAGTACTGAACAAATGAAGTAAATGTTCAACAACATATTTGCCTTTATTACGCAAACTGTAAGAATCCAAAATTCAGAAATGACATTTTATAATAAAAATACAGGGGAAACTTTTACTATAAGCATCATTTTGCATTCTATTTAGATTTAGCATCACTTTTTTTTCCCCCTCTATATAGCCACATATTAAAGGATGATCTACTAATTTTGAGTTCCTATATATTTGTTTTTATAGATGTGTTTTATATTTTTTCATATAGATACACATTATATATGTCTTTATATATGAAACCAATACATATTGTTTACTATACTTCATATATTTGTTTATACGCATATTTGATAACTTTCATTTTCACTGGTATCAGTACTTTGTGCTGATATAACACCTTAAGCTTCTCATTTCTTTGGCCAGTTAATCCACATTTATAGCTTTTCTGCATGCAATGTTTGCAGAGCACACCAGATAAATTTACCAGATTTACTGGTAAATCTGACTGTCCTCTGGAATCAAACTGAATAACTAGAAGTGAATTGCTTAATATTGTTTCAAAACTGCAATGCAGTAATAGACGTCTCCAAGAGAATCTCAGTCAACAAAATCTGTTAACTGGAAGAGAAAAGCTAATTTCAGCCAGTTCTGCATTATAAATAGTTTTACCGGTACTCTTAATGACTAATAGAATTTTACATTACGGGAAGTCTTGTCACTATAGTCCTCAGCTCTTCACTGAAATACATTGTTTATTTCAAAGGTTCAAATAGTATGCAAGATGGTTATAAAACTACACAAACAGTCCAACAAAGAGAAATACTAACTTTTTTAGAGCACATTCCAACTCTTTCTTTTCATTATCTGCTTCTTGGAGCTGGGAAAAAATTCTGACCAAGAACTCTTCAAAATCGGAAAGTAAATGAGGTTCGTCTTTTCTCAGCTGTAACCAAAGCTGCTTCACATCACTCTCACTGAAAGAAGAGATCATAAAGGATTCATTAAGGGAATAAATGTTCACAGCGTCCCAGTGGATGGATGCTTCAGGGCAACACCTGTCAGAACAAAAGGTTTATTAAAAACAGGGTTTACTTAAGCAGTGCTGGATTTGAAAAGGATGAGGTGGGTGGGAAATGATAGAAATTGCATTTATTAAAAAAAAAAAAATCCATCATAAAGTTTGGCCAAGCATGACTGCAGAGAATCACAAGAACTGCTTGTGTAGTGGGTGCCTTGCCAGAGACTTCATTTAAACAGGAATGGATAAGACAGGAGACAGATGAGACATGCTGAACCATCATGGTCATGGATGGCTATGTCCTTTTCAGG